TTTCATGCAGGTCACTGATAAGCAGCTTCATTCCGATGGCTATATTGCTCATGTTGGCTTGGCCATTCATCCGAATGTTCTTTAGCTCAAGGCGATCTTCAGGTTTGCCCCCTTTCTACGACTTAAAAAACCGTCATTTGCATTCGAGACTGCGCTTTTTTTGATTTCTGTTTGTTATAGGTGGCCGCGGAGGGGCAAATCCTTTCGGCGGTGGAGGTCCGTTCACGATGTTTGGATTCGGGCAAAGTACAGCGCGACTTATCAATAAAAATGACATCGAAGTGAAGTTCAAGGATGTGGCGGGTTGTGAGGAGGCGAAAATTGAAATTATGGAGTTTGTTAACTTCCTGAAAAATCCTGAGCAGTACAAGAGGCTCGGCGCTAAAATACCTAAGGTATATTTTTTGATAGGACTTCTTATTAGTTTTATTTTTCATGAAACTTCCATGTTGTTTTGCTTGAAACTGGCTTTCTTCTTGCAGGGTGCAATACTTACGGGTCCGCCAGGCACTGGTAAAACTCTGTTGGCGAAGGCAACTGCTGGTGAAGCAAATGTACCGTTTATAACAGTGAGTGGTTCGGAATTTCTCGAGATGTTTGTGGGTGTTGGACCGGCACGTGTCCGTGATATGTTCTCGATGGCTCGCAAAAATGCTCCATGCATACTTTTCATCGGTACGCATTTTTCGCTCTTTTCAAACCATCATTTGTCTGTTCGGTATAGGTCTAAATACTTCAGGTTTTTTGTACGACTAAGTAAGAACATTTTATAAGATGTATACTTACTATTAACATTCATTACCCGATTTAATCTTAATATCGACTAATTCTAATTGCCAAAATCGTCGTACTGACAAGGTCCAATTGTAATAATGAAATGTATAATGACAAAAAATGAAATGTATACGACTTAATGAGCTGAAACATTTCTTACCATTGAAATAATTTTATTAATTTGTATTTCTCATCTCTTACCTTTCTGTTCATCTCCCTGCCTGTTCGTTTTTGCTGTCTCTGTATTTAGAACATTTCGTTTTAAAAATTGGCTCTGCTGCAGTTAAAAATACTGTTGCGGATTAGAAAACCGATGCAGCTATGCGCTGTTTTTATTATTAAAAAAGAAAAAAAAAACTGCGCCTACACTTTAAATCTCTTTTTACATAAATTATCGCTCAAAATGCAGCGAAGTTAGCTGGCGTCAAAGATTACATGATACGCCCGCGTCATGTAATCTTTGATGCCCTCAGCTATCTTTTCACCGTTTGCTTTCGTAACGCTCAGTCTGATGCTTTTCTCATTACCCCCGATAGAATCTTCTACACTGCATGCCTCCGCCCTCACGGTTCTGATCCGTTTACTCGCGTGCGGAAATAGATGCTATCCTTCGTTCCGTCGTGCACGAGCCCTACGCATGCTTCGCTGGTTACATATTCCGCCAAGTTAAAGGTGTCCCGATGGGTGGCAATGCCAGTTCCGACATTGCCGACCTTACTTTGTCTGTACTGGAATTTAAATACAGCAGACTTCCTACTAATCTACCGCTTCTCCTCCGCCGTTATGTTGACGACATTTTAGTCCTCAACTGTCCGGATTTTCTTTCTCTTTGTCGAAACATTTACGACCAGGACTTAGACATAGAACGTACAGGTTCAGGTACCATCGTCAGCTACTTAGACTTGACCCTTACCATAGATAGCAGTGCTCATATCGTTTGTTCACTATACTGCAAGACCGATTTTTTCACCTTCCCTATCATTAAATGCTCTTCTCTTTGCAGCAACTTACACCCTTCTGTCAACAGTGGTATCGTCTGCAGCTATTTTAACAGATACTTAGTTATCGAATCCACTTATCAAGGATTTATCACGTCAGCTCGTCGTTTTCTCCTCCACTATTCACACAAGGGACTTTCTTCTCATAACATTAGTCGTCTAGTCAACACATTTGTGCACAGAAATACATATCAGCTTTCTAAATATTCCCCTCCTATGGTGGCTCATTGTCAACGTCTGATACACGCTCTTCTACAATAACTGCACCACCCAACATGCATGTGTAAGTTGCGTGGTTAGCGTTCCCTTCATATTGCTACTTCCTCCTTTCGACACCTCCACTTCTACATCACAGCCTTCTAATCCTTTTCAAATGCCCTAAATTTATATTTTCTAAAAAAATTTTTCCTGTTCCCATCTTCTTTCTTCCGTTCCATTCCCTCTTCTTCTCATCTTTGAACACTGCGACCGTCATACTAACAAGGTCCAGTCGCGGTGTTGAGCTAAGACGCATATGACTTCATGGGCCGAAACATCTTAATTCTCTCGTACTTATTTTTCCTGTACCAGCAGCATTTCTGCCTCTTGCATTGCATAGTTCATTCTATTCTTGCCTTCTTTTCTGCGTTCTTCATGTTACTTTCATGCTACAATCTTGCGATAATCAGATTAGGTAATTAATATCGGACTTCTGGGCCGTATGATACCAGAAGGCTAAATTCTCAAAACTTCAATTTTCACGAGCTTGAAAATTCATGAGAGGCGTACAAACAAACATGCAGACAGACTTTTACCGATATATTTTTGCATATGCATAAATACAGAGGATGTGTTATCATTTTGAATAAAAATTTTTGAAGATGAAAACTTTGCATCATACGCCTTTCCTCTTGGTAAGCAGTTCCCATTGCATTGCTGTTTGTGCTTGCGTATTATCAATTGTAACTCGATTCAGATGAGATTGACGCTGTGGGAAGGAAGCGAGGTGAAGGCCGATTTGGTGGGCATTCTGAGCAGGAAAATACACTGAATCAGCTTCTTGTCGAAATGGATGGTACATTTTGTTTCACTGTTGTTTTTGCTCAAAGTTCACATGTGAAGATTGGTGTTATACGTGGGTGAGTTAAAAAAATCTCTAAGGTTTCTCGACGGAGGAGTCCTCAGTCATCGTGATCGCCGCAACAAATCGCCCCGATATCTTAGACGCTGCACTTCTCAGACCTGGTCGATTTGATCGGCAAATTTATATTCCCGTACCCGACATCAAAGGAAGGTTTGTATCGTTGCTATTATTGCATCTGAAGACACTCTGATACTTTGGTCGACCGTGAACCATCAATGCTTTTTATGCGTTTTGTGCTGTGTAACAAAACGCATATTGTCACGGGGTTGTCTCTGTGTGTGTCTGCAGCAACTTGTCCGCAACTTTCAACTCGGGAACTACAAAAGCTAGGAAGCTGAAAATTTAGGGGAACGTTCCCCACTCACGTGTAACCCCGAAAATTTAAATTCAGCTTCCCCGTACTCGTGGGTAACACGTACGGCCCCGTGAAAGTTTT